ACAAAGAAATATCATATATATATATATATATATATATGTTAGAAACAATAACAAGAAATTAAAAAAAACATTTGAGTCCTTATCTTGGGCTTCATTTCACCTAACATCAATTTATCTGACTGATTCTGCTTGTCTCAGACATATACTAGGTCTTTCAAATAAGGAAAACCAAGGGCCTGGCTTATTTCACTTAATATAATTTTTTCAGGGTCTTTTGTTATTTGAATGTTTTTGCCTGTGCATTCCATATCTTTAAACAAATTTGTTGGGATTTAATGGATATTGTATTGAATTTGTAATTTGCTTTGGGCAGTATTGTCATTTTCACAATGTTAAATCTTCCAATCCAGGAGCTCAGATTATCTTTCCATCCTCTTAAGACTTTTTCAATTTTGTTTTTGAAAATTTTAAACTTTTCACTATAGAGGTACTTCACCTCCTTGGTTAACTAGTAAGTATTTTATATGGAGTTTCTTTTCTGATTTCAGCCTTGATCTTCTTGGTAATGGCATAAAATGGTATTGATTTTTGTGGGTTGATTTATACCTGGCTATTTTGAAAAAGTTTTGGATCAACTCCGTAGGCTGTGGAAGGAGATTTTGGGGTCCCTCAACCATCTTTAAAAAGGGATAGTTTTACTTCTTCCTTCCATATTTGGATTCCCTGCATGGTTTTCTCTTGCCTATTTGGCTTGCTAGGAATTCCAGTACTATCTTGAAAGGAAAAGAGACAGTATAACCTCTTATTTCCGATATTAGGAGAAATGCCTTTAGTTTTTCACATTCAGCATAACACTGACTGTAGATTTCTCATACACACCCTTTCTTATACTGAGGAATGGTCCACGGATCCTAGCTTCTCCAGAGCTTTTCTCATAATGAGGTGTTCGATCTTGTCAAAGGCTTTTTCTGCATCCAACGAGATGATCATGTGGCTTTTGTCTTTCCTTGCTTCTGTTGCTGTGTTGCAATATGTTAATTAACTTATTTCTGTTAATATGGCTTTGCATCCTTGAGATAAATCCCATTCAATCATCATGTGTGATCTTCTTGATCATTTTCTAAATTTTGTGGAAGAGTTTTACAACAGTGTACATCAAGGAGATAGGTCTAAAGTTCTCTTTCCTTGATGTGTCCTTATCTAATTTGGGGATAAGTATGAGGATAGCTTCATAGAATGAGTTTGGCAGTGTTCCTGTGCTATTTCATTGAAGAGTTTGAGGAGTATTGGTGATAATTCTCCTTCAAAAGTCTTACAGAATTTGGTTCTGAAGCCATCAGGTCTTGGGTTTTTCCTGGAAGGTCAGTTCTTGCCAATTCAATCTCATTGCTTTTGCTGGGTCTGTTTATTCAGTTCATGTCTTCCTGATTCAGTTTGGGTATATAGGAATTTATCCATTTCTGCCCGATTATCATCTTTGTTGCCAAAGAGGCTTATAAAGTATTCCCTTCGAATATTCTGAATTATGTTGGATCTGTGGTGATTTCCCCTGTAATCTCTAATTATTATTTATTTGTGTGGCTTCTCTTTTTTATTTAATTAATTTAGATAGGGTCCTGTCAATGTTGTTAATTTTTTTCAAATAATTATCTTTTGTTTTTGCAGAGTGTATGCATTTTTAAGTCTCTGATTCATTTAATACTGCTCTAATAATTTTCATCTGTGTACTAGTTTTGGGTTTGACTTGCTCTGGTTTTTCTAGAGGCTTGAGTTGAATCATTAGGGTATTGAATTGAGATTTTTCTAAATTGTTGTTGCAAGCATGTATAGATATAAATTTTTCTCTGAGTACTGTCTTGCTGTTTCCCAAAGGATTTGGTATTTTGTGTCTTCATTTACTTTGAATCCTGAAAATGATTAAATTTCACCTCTTCTCTCTTTGATGACCTACTAGTTCTCAGCAATAAATTACTCTGTTTCCATGAGTTTGAGTATTTTCTGTGATGGTTTCTGCTGTTGAGGTCTACTTTTATAATGTTATGATCTGCCAAGTACAGAGTCTACATTTTTGTACATATATGAATAAATATGTATAGATGTATATATGTTTTGGTCGGTGGTGGGGCCATCAAAGTCATAACTTTTGAAATATTCCTTGTAAATTTCTATGTTCATTATGCAGGCTTATCTTCAAGAACTATCAGCTTGTGATGGCCTTGTCTTTTGCTATTGAGGAGATCAACAAAACCTGAACTTTTACATAACTTGAATCTTGGATTTGATATCTATGATATTTACTTCGAAAGTTGGGCAGTACTTAAGAATCCCTTCATTTGGCTCTTTGGGAAATACAAGATTCCAAACTACTCCTGTAGAAGAGAGAGCAAGTCTATAGCAGTACTAACTGGACCATTAGGAATAACATCTGTCCACAATGGGACATTGCTGGAACTCTACAGATTTCCACAGGTGAAGGTTGACATGGTAGGGGAATATAAAAATGTTTCATTAAGTGGTATTCCAGGTGTTAGGAGAGAATGATAAGAGCCTGGATTTATGAACCTATCAAATTTTGTTGTATCGAAGAATAAGTACTCAAAAATAGGAGGATATGTATATGCCCACTGTTTGAAAAATGAGATGGAAGAATCACAGAAACAAATGGATTATTTATTGTTTCAAGTGTAATCAATAATTTAAAAATTCAGAAAGTGCAAAATTACTTTGAAGTGTGCAGATATGCTGAGCAGCGTACTGGTGACTCACACTTCTAATCCCAGCTATTCTGGAATCTTTTATCTCCACATAACCAGCAAAACCAGTAAATGAATGTGTGGCTCAAGTGGTAGAGCACCAACATTGAAGGCAAAAGCCAAGGAAGTGCATGAGGCCTGAGTTCATGCCCTTGTCATGGCATGCATGTGTGCGCATGTGCATACACACACACACACACACACACACACACACACACACACACACACACACGAACATGTGCACCTGGACAAGATATTATATTGAATGTCATGTCAAGCTCAGAATGATAAAGGGGAGATGTGTTCTCTCATATGCGAAAGCTAGAACTTAATATGTCATATCAAATAAATATGGAACACATATGTAGTCATATATATATATGATTAATTGGAGTAAAGTATGGCATATATGGGGATAGAATTCCATGGAGTAACCTTTTCTGATCAACTGAATATAAAAATATGAACAATAGAAAGCTGACACATATCTTCTCTGAGCAGATTAGTTGTTACGGGATAAGGTAAGAACAATAGGGAATGGATGAGTGAAAAAAAACATTACATTAAATGTACATATGTGAAAATAGAATTAGGAAAATCAGGGAATTGGTTGGGCTAATAAACATGGGAGTAGTTAATGGAAATGGTGACAAAGCACAAGAGACATACAAATATTTTCTACAAATACTGATTGTTTTCCTCAAAAACTAAAACAAAAATGTACCTTTCACCTACTTCAACTGGTTCTTAACATACTTGAAGATTAAGATTGTGATGGATGATAATCTTCTCATTCATGGAGCATCCAATTGTCTTTGCATTTAGTTTACCTTTGGGCCTTTTGTTCATGCTCTGAGTCACCATAAGAAGTTTCCTACTCTGTATCAGATGGCCCAAAGGACACATCAATAGCCACTGCCATGGTCTCCTTACTGCTTCACTTCAACTGGAACTGGGTGGGACTGTTGACATCAGAGGATGAGAATAGTTTGTTGGTTCTTGTTAAATTGAAAGAAGAAATGGCTAAGAACAGACTTTGCGTAGCCTATGGGCTAGTCATGTCAAGCAAGTTCGTCTCACAGATATTCAAATTCATGACAATATATAGTCAGATAAATAAATATTCAGCAAATGTCCTCATGATATATGGTGATAATGAATCACTACTAGATTTAATGATGTGTTTTGAACAACTTTTAGTAAAAGGAAAATTTTGCATCATGAACTCACAGTGTGATTTAACCACGAGAAGGAACTATTTCATGCTAGGCTCATTCCATGTACCTCTCATTTTTTCACACCATCATGCAGATGTTTCTGGATTCACAGATTTTATCAAGGCAGTTAATCCTTCCACCATGAGCAAAGACACTTCTTAGAGGGTCTCTTACTGTATAAAATTAAATATTTCAGGCGTTTTTCAAAACCCAGTAAATAATGGGTGAAATTTTGGTGAGGAACTCTATACATGTGTTCATTGCTCTTAAGAGAAACAGGCCAGGTCAGTAACAAGGAGAAAATATATACCATGGATATGTATGTATGTATGTATGTATATATGTATGTATGTATGTTTGTTTGTATGTATGTATACAATATACATATACTTACATACATATATTTCTTTTTTAGTGTGAGAAACCAGTAAGATATATTTTTGCTTGTCTTTGAGCTTGAGGTTAGGGTCTGGATGGTGTCTCTATGTCTTTTTGTGTTCAAGAATAGTGCTCTACCACTTGAGCCACAGCTGTACTTCTGTCATTTTCTGAGTGGTTTATTGAAGATAAGTGTCTCATGGACTTTTTTCTCTGGCATGGCTTCAACTCATGATCCTCAGATCTTAGCTTCCACATGGCTTATTAATTCATCTAGTTAAAAATATCATTAACATGCTCATTAGCTACTGTTTTCAAAAGTGTAAATTCAGCTTTTCCCTGAATTACTTCAGTACTTGTAAATGATGACCTACCAAATAGCATTTTTAATCCATATTTTCATAAGTCATCTAGTTTCATTTAATTTTGGATTTTGGCATAAAAATTTAACCAAGCTCAATAATTCATAAAAACAATGAATGTCGGTAACTGAAAAATTGTCCTATTCATGGCTATTTGCCTGCTATTGATTTCTCCATAAAAAGGCCGTCTACTCCTTTTCTGAGTGACAAGGATTCAGGAAGGTTATTTTTATTCCTCCATAGATTTTCTTTTGGAATACTTCATTTCTGTTTGTGCTATTCTAGAATTCAGAATTGGATAAAGGCAACCAGGAGCGTTTCTTCACCATATAATGATGCATCTCTTTTAGTTGCACCTTTTTATAAAGAACATCCAATTTTTTAATCGTGCTGGAGATGTAATGATTTTGGGTGAGAAAAGAAAATTAGAGCCAGAATATGACATTCTGAACCTTTGGAATTTTCCAGAAGGTCTTCAACTTACAGTGAAAGTAGGAAAGTTTTCTCCATATGCTCTGCATATGGTAATCAACTCTCTTTATCTGAAGATATGGTAGAGTGGGCCATACGTACTACGGAGGTGAGTTGGATCTAATAATAGTGATTTTAAGGACATACATATAAGCAAAATTTACCCTTGAAATTTATACCTGGTTGAATGCCAGCTTTCTTCCATAATGCTAGCAACTGAAATATCTGAGATGTGAACATCAGGAAAGCTTGGACTTATCTCCAATTAACCTCAAAAATCTGGAAGTGGAGCTATAACTCTAGTGGTTGAGCGCTGATAACCTTGAGCAAAAAACTGAAGGTCAGTGCCTACAACCTTGCAATCAGCACCAAACACATTTCTAAATGTTGACTTATTATATTATCATAAAACATAAACTGTACCTTTCTTCCTAACACTGTGATAGAGTACATGAAGAATCAATTTATGTGGTGGAGATGTTTCTTTGCTCCCTTGTATGGATGGAGTTTTCATTCAATTGTTAGTTGACCTGCTAATTGGGCATCTTTGGTGAGAGTAATCATTGAATATGACTGGAGAAGATTCTCTCTTCGTGGCCACTGGAAAATCAAGAGGAAGATGGCCCTGGGGTTCACACAACCCTCTGAAAGGGATGTCTCCTCCTTTTTCTTCCCCATGCCACAGATGAGTAGGATACAACATATGATGACATGAATTCAAGGAAATTCTACAGGATCTACATTGGGTCTTACTTTCTCACCATTAGTTTCTACCTTTTAACGATCCCATATGTTTCAATAGTTCAACAGGTTAGAAATAAAAGTTGTAGCACAAAAGCCTTTTGGAATCATGATATATGGTTTTTATAACATAATTGAATTAATCAACTTCACTTACATGCATAGAAACATTATGCTTTTTAATACAATTCTTTAAAACAATGGACTTTTTGGAGTGTTAGTTACTGACACAGAACTGATTTTCCTCAGACTCCTCACTCTGCCTGCAGTGAGAGTTGTGGTCCTGGATTCAGGACATCTCTTCAAGAGGAAAAGGCTGCTTGTTGTTTTGATTGTAATCTTTGCCCAGAGAATGAGATTGCTAATGGAACAGGTAAATCCATGACTTATGAAGAAATTGTTCATCACTCCTTTGTTTTCATCAATCCAACCATGTCAGTACCCAGAACTGCTCATGACAATTAGCAAGAGCTCAGAAAGGGGGATTCCATTTAAGAAGGGAGCATGAATATAGTGTCCAAGTTTGGTTTCTCTTTTCCTAAATATTCACAGATTAGTTGGATAGATCAATATAATGAAATGAATTCAAGGACGTTGCCACAGGAACAAAATTAATCTTTTTCAGAGATGTGTAGGGAATTGAAAGCTGCATTATTTACAATTTTCAATAGGATTGCAGAAATCTGCACAATTCTAACAGTTAGTGTGAGCAAAAGTATAGAAAATTATTAGGATATTAGAATACTCTAAATAGCACCTTATCAATACTTGTAATAATACTTGAAAGAAAAAAAACTGAACAAAAAAGCCTGAATACTGAAGAAGATGCAAGGGGGAGGGAAGATGTTATGGTTTAGCAAAGAAACAAAAATGATTTTTTGACAGTCAATGCTGGCACTATGGTAGATTATGTTAGGATTACACCTAAGTAAACAATTTGCTATTATCTTTGAAGAAAAGGAAGTTCAAACCAAGAAGTAATTGTACTTTACACTTCTTATCAGATATGAACCAGTGTGTAAAGTGCCCAGATCATCAGTATGCTAACACACAGAGAAGACAGTGCCTCCTGAGAGCTGAAAGTTTCCTGGATTTTGGAGAGCCCTTGGGCATGGGTCTGGCCTGCATGGCTCTTTGCTTCTCTATGCTCACTGCTGTTGTTCTTGGAATGATTGTGATACACCATGACACTGCCATTGTCAAGGCCAATAACAGGGCTCTCAGCTATATCCTACTCATCTTTCTTATCTTCTGTTTCTTCTGTTCCTTGCTGTTTCTTGGCCAACCCAACACAGTCACCTGCATCCTGCAGCAAATTGCCTTTGGAATTGTGTTCACTGTGGCTGTTTCCACAGTGTTGGCCAAAACAGTGAGTATGGTTCTGGCCTTCAAGGCCACTTCCCCAGGGAGAAGGATGAGGTGGCTGCTGGTATCAGGAGCTCCTAACTTCATCATCCCCATCTGCACCCTCATCCAGGTGACTCTGTGTGGACTCTGGCTGGGAACTTCTCCTCCCTTTGTGGATACAGATGCATACTCTGAACATGGTCACATCATCATCCTATGCAACAAGGGCTCCCTCACTGCCTTCTATTGTGTCCTGGGATACCTTGGTTTTCTGGCCCTGTCCAGCTTCACCATGGCTTTTCTGGCCAGAAACCTGCCTGACACCTTCAATGAGGCCAAATTCCTGACCTTCAGCGTGCTGATGTTCTGTAGTGTGTGGGTCACTTTCCTGCCTGTCTACCACAGTGCCAAGGGGAAGGTCATGGTGGCTGTGGAGGTCTTCTCCATCTTGGCCTCTGGTGCAGGGCTCCTAGGCTGCATTTTTGCCCCAAAGTGTTATATCATCTTGTTAATGCCAAATAGAAATTCTCTGCATGACTTTAGGGATAAAAGACATAGTAGAAGAAATAAGCCTTCTTAAGAGTGAGCTCATATGTTTGATTGGTATATAGATGGCCTGATCTAAATCTGTATCAACTTTCCATTGTCATATTCATTTGTATGATGACGTTTTTACCTCAGTGAATAAAGGCCAGTAGTTTCTTTTTCTAGTAGTGGTATTCTCAAGCAGCAGTGATCACCTAAAATGAATTCTTTCTCATGTACTTTTGGTTCATCCTTTGTATTCTGCACTCAATCCTATTATGCCCTCTTGTTAATGTCTTTTCACTATTGTCTTTCTCACTCAGTTTTCTAGATTTTTAGGTATACTAAATTCCTGTCTGCACACTACCATGTTTCAAAATCCTCTAATTCATTTCCTTACATTTTTCTCTTTACAAAGTTTCATCTTTTTATATTATCCTTAGAGATTGTTTTGTTTAATATTAATACTATTACTGATAGTATTCTAATCACAGGTTTTCCTTTCCCAATAATCCCATAATCTCATTCACAGGAAGTTTCTCTCTGTCTCTTTCTTGGTCTGGCCTTTGGCCACTTTCCTCTTTTCCTCTCCTGCTCCTTCCTCTCTGTTCTTTCCTCCTAAGGTTTTTGGTTCGGATTACATAAGGTATAAAAATGCACTTAATTTAATATTACAATGTTAAATTATATTTTTATTTTTCTCTAAAAAGTAAAGTTTGTGATGCATAGAAATTTTTTCTTCCATGGCTGGAGATACCTTTCAATTTATTATTGTTCAATCACTATTAACATTAGTTCTTGTAATTTCATCCCTTCCTAGTAAAATATAAATATTGAAACATGAACATCTTTACCTGTCACATTTCAGATCTCTTAAATTGATAAGGAAAGCATTACTTATTGCATCAACTAGGTTGACTTAGTAGGTTCTATACTATATCTACATAATCACATATTTAAGACATATAAACACAATAACATCCCTATCTCATCTTTCCAGTGTTTATTACATATTTCTTCTGATATTAATGAAATTCATGTGTATATGCTTCAATTCTAGTTTAGACTGTCCCTTAGCTTTTTCACTTAAGGCTGCTTTACCACTAGAGTCACAGGTACATTTATAGCTCTTTGGTCTTTAATTGGAAATAAGAGTGTCAGGCATTTTCCTGCCCAGGCTAACTTTGAAACACTTCTCACATTTGCATTTCTAGTAGATAACGACTGATGAGAGGTTTCTATTAGTTAAATTTTTCTTGAAAATATAACAGTGTATTGGTAAAAAAAATTGTGTATGTCTTCTTTTGAGGGCATGCTGTCTAACAAATGAAAATGTAATTAGATTTCCAACTTCCTTAGCATGTTAACAAATACATGATCAAAATATGCATCAGTTTTTATTGAACTTTTGTCTATTTTATTAATTTTAGGAATTCCATTAATAGGATTGAGTTTATATTATTGAGTAAACTTCTGAATCCTCATTTTGTGATGTGAAGTTTTTAGGAGAATATTTGATGTTAGTGCTTTTGTATAGTATTTTGTGTTCCTTGCTAATTTCTTCTTAGTTGAAATTTCAGTAAACTTACACAATACATATTTTCTTTAATGAATTAATGAAGAGAATGAACACATGGATGTCTTGATGTTTTGAAGTAAGAGTGGATGTATGTCAGGCATGGAGGAAGACAATGGCACATAAAAGTAAAGTTCATGGATAAATAATACGATAGAGACAGGAAGAAGGGCACAAGGAAAATGTACCTTTATAATGTTTTGTTACAATAAAACTTTACTCATAAAAAATAGGTGGATGTGGGTCATGAGTCATGGCTCTCTCACTGTGTATGTGTGTGTGTGTGTGTGTGTGTGTGTGTGCAGGGTGGTTAATGACAAATGATATATGAAAAATTTTTATCAACTTTTATGTTGTTTGCAAAAGGTTTAGGTATAATGTATCTAAATGTTGGGGATTTCATATGCTTGGAGGCCATTAAGATAGCTTAAATATTTTAGTGGAAATAAAAGTTTTGGACAAAGATGTGTCTGACCAAAAGACTTTTTGAGCCCATTCAAAGCTCTCATACTAAAGCCCAATTTAACCATATACACTAGCAAAAATTTAAAGTAATACAAAAAATTAAAAGTCAATACACTTGGAGTTTGAAAAATAACTTCTGCTGTTCCAAAACTAATTTTTAATCCACTAAGGTAAAGGAAACTTCCAGGCACTGTTTTTCTCCTGCCTTATTCCTAGCTAATGAGGAGACTGAGATCTGAAGATTCTAATTTCCATTTCGTTCACTCTGTTAACTTTGGCTTCCATGTGCTTTGCATAGAGGAAATTGAGCCACTTATGGCTTCTTTGTTCTCAGAGTATTAATCTCAACTCTTAGCAAGGTGTGTACTGCATCTATTTTGCTTGCATCCCCTGTTTGAAATCCTGCATCTTTTTTTTGGGGGGGGGTCCGGTCGTGGGGCCTGAACTCTGGGCCTGGGCTCTGTCCCTGAGCTCTTCAGCTCAAGGCTAGCACTGTACCACTTGAGCCACAGCGCCACTTCCGGCTTTTTTCTTTTTGCTTATGTGGTGCTGAGGAATCGAACCCAGGGCCTCAGGCATGCAAGGCAAGCACTCTACCACTGAGCCACCTGCATCTTTTTTGATATTTCGTTTCTATGTTCTTTAAATTTCTGATTTATTTCTCACTTTAATTTTTGAGTCATTGCCACCAGCATCTCTTGTTTTCCTTTCCTGCTTTTCTTCCACTGGGCCTCTCCCCTGGCTGGCTGCTGGCTTTTAGGGGTAGCTTGCTATCCTGAGCATTTCCTGTAATTTTTCTCTGTGATTTTTCTTATGGGGATTAAGGGATTCTTGGGGACTAATCAGAAACTCTGACTGTTTCGGTTAACAAGTGGCAGTCTTTGCTTGGTTCTGGGTTGGTTCCTGGATCAATTGATGAAGCTTCTTCTTGGCCTTGGGCTGGCTGAGAGAGTCTGTACCTGGTCTCTGTTCTGTTGGGGGAGAGTCTGACCAGCAGATGGTAGTCTGACCCACATAGGGCTCTCAGCTGTCTGCTGGAGATCACAGGCAGTTCCTGCCTTTAGCCAAGGACTGAGCAGCCTAGACTACTCATGCTTTCTCCTATGGGTGCTTTTGGTGAGACTGGGTGTTCTGGATATACTCTCCCATTTGCTGGTTTCTGCTATGAGTTCCTTCCTGACTATAATCAGGTGCTCGCAGCCTGAGCTGACCCATCCCCAGCCTGGGATATAGAAGTCAGGCTCTGGTGGGATTTGGGCTTCTAGTTCTGCTGCCCTGGATACACAGGGCACAATTCCCAGGGGGTGTGGTTCCCTGCTGTACCTCTCTGCAGAAGCTTGTGCTCTGCTTCTGATTTTAACCAGAATGGGTGTGTTGTGCAGCTCAGGCCCCGGATCCCCAGTACTGGCTGGCTTCCAATCTCTTGCCTGGGGCATGCCAATTGGGCCTGTGTTGCTGGGTATGATCCCAGGGTACTCAGCTGGGGTATGCAGTTTGGATTTTTCCCCTTGCTTGCTGCTGTGTCCTGTGGGCTTGTTCCTGGCTTGGTCATTCAAGCTCCCTCCCAGGGATGGTATTGATCAATCCTGGAGGACTAAATATGCTCCACAGGCTGGTGGGACACTTTAACAGTTCCCAGTTTTAGTGGGACCTGTAGTCCAGGTGGTGGCAGGGCTGGTTTCCTTTGGGGGGATGCTGTCCCCTGTGGGGCACTCACCCTGGAGCTAGTTGGGAACTCTCCAGTGGTGCTGTTGCAGATTGCTATTTCTGTGTGATGTAGGTGGCTAGTTGCCACTGTGCTCTGTGTTTGGTTGAGATGCTGTGGACTAGGCTGTGTGGTGGCCGTTCTGGGTCTGTGCTTCTTACCTTCTCTGCTCTGTTGATGCTGTCCTTGTTAGTGCTGCAAGCGTTTTTTGAGCTGGCTGCTGGCTGAGGGGTGGAGGAGGGGGCTTCAGTCCTGTTCTGAGCTCTGAAGTTTCTGTCTCTGTTTGCACTCTGTGTTGGTACCAGCACCTTGGGAGTCTTCTACACTGGTGTTCTGTGTACGACTCCTGAAGTTCTGGGGTTCCCCCTTTAGCTTTGAGGCCCAGTGGTTTTGGCGGGATGGGGCTTCAGCGCTCTGGTTAAAGGTGGGGGAAGGATCTTTGTGCAGGTTCCAAGCTCTGAGATTTCTGTTTGAAATCAGCAGGTCCAGCCCAGTCACCTTGGGTGTGTTTTGTGCTGGTAATCTGCAGATGACCCCCTGTGGCTCTGGGGTCTCTGACAGCCCCCTGCTGTGCTGGGCTGGCCACGGTTTGGTGCATTGCTGTGCAGCAAGCAAGGGTTGGTGGAAGGGTCTTTGTGCTTTTCTTTTTTCTTCCCTCCCTCCCTCCCTCCCTCCCTCCATCCCTCCCTCCCTTCCTTCCTTCTTTCTCTCTTCCTCTCTCTCTTTCTTTCTTTCTTTTCTTTCTCTTTCTTTCTTTCCTCTTTGTTTCTTTCTTTCTTTCCTTCCTCTTTCCTCCCTCCCTCACTCCCTCCTGCCTTCCTTCCTTCCTTCCTTCCTTTCTTTTTTCTTTCTTTCTTTTCCTTCTTTCTTTCTCCGGGTGTTCATCTTTTTTATGTTGTTGGTGTTTTGGGGGAATTAAACATTGGAATTTGAAATCTCTGCTTGGTTGGAGAAAGCTGTGGTTTTTCCCTACTGTTCCATCGCCATCTTGGCCCCCCTCTGAAAGGCTTATCCCTTTTAAGTACTCAGAAGACTTTTACCTTGCTAGGTTGTGATTTCTCTCTTTTAATTGACCTGTTTCTGAGTCTGACTGTGTAGCAAGGGAGAATTGTCCACACAATGTCTTCTTGGAATAGTTACCAGAAAACATTTTACATGATATGTCTAAAGAGAGTTACAATACATTCAGTGCTATGTATGTTGTATACCAGACCCTGAATGAGATCCTTTTTCATCAAACAGAAGTGTCACCATTGGACAATAAGAGAGGGGTGGTACCTTCCCCTACACACGTAATGCTTCTTTGGTT